TGCTTCCTCTTTAGCAGGAACTGTAGAGTATTTGCAGTCCCATTCTCAACAAAAGTCGCTTGAATACACACGCTATCAACAAGAGATAGTTGCACAAATTTCAGAATCTTTCAGTCTTCTGCTGAATAATCTGCAGTGCATCACTATAGCATTGTCGCGTGAAGGTAACTTAAAATTTTATTTAAGTTTTTATATCTGTCATAGAATCACAGAGTGGGGTTTGTGTTGGAAGGGACCTTCAAAGATCATCCAGTCCAACCCCCCTGCCGTGCGCAGGGACATCTTCAACTAGATCAGGTTGTTCAAAGACCCATGCAATGAAACACATGTGCATTTGTGTGTATGTGTGTTTGTATATTTGCACATACAGTTGCATGCCAGTGCTGCTTGTTTCTGTACAACTGTAGACAGATAAAACATCTGTGGGTAGAGGAAAAACTGCAGAGGCTATCACAGGGGAGGGATAGTAGTACATGATTTGGGGTCTTTCGGCTTATAAATCCATAGTTGAAATGTATTGTTCTTCATGGTTGTCAGCTGTAAATCACACTTCTATGCTCAGATTTTACATACTGCAATCTTTCTTTTCAGACATCAGATGTTACTACCCACACAAAATCCTAGTGATAGGATAAAAAAAAGTTATTAATAACCAATATGCTGGATGAACCTGTAGAATACTTCCAAACAAATTTGGAATTTGAGTGGTTGAATTCTTACACCACAGAAAAGTGTTTGGGGTTTTTTATTAGGGAAGGAAAACAAAGTAACACAAACTAAAACTGGGCAAGTATTTTTATTCTCTCTGTTATTAGGAGATATTTTAACATTAAGATTGCCTTTGTGGAAGGGGGTGCAGAAGACTTGCATAGGATGATCCTTTCTGTTCATATGGTAAGAATTAGGGAGTGTAAATAACAGACATGCTTCATCCAACTTGTTAGTGCTGAAACCATGGTACTACTTCAACTGAAACATGTACCAGCAGTTCTGAGCTGCGTTATGGAAATCACAATACTGCTTACCAAGGAATCTCTTCAGCTGATGCATTTAATTTCAGAATGGCTCCTTCCACCGAACACTCTTGTGGTGTGCTGGTCCTCAACTACCAGTGCAGACTTGTAGGGGGGGAGTTGCATGCAAGAGAAGTGTTTTAGGAATCAAAGTGAAAATGTTGGAGTCCGCCAGGTGGTGCCAGAAGGCCTGCTGGCTGCGAGCGCGGGAAGCAGGAACAGACCTCCTCAGGAGGTGCCAGCCCATCCTTAACATCAAAGGGTGTATAACCTGAATTTGCAGTTCTGCATCTCAGAGATACAAGCAACACATGCTATTACCCTCCCTCTCCTTCCAAAATTTTACCCCAAAAATCAATGCCTCATCAAATGTTCTGATACTATTTCCTTCTGTGTTCATGATGGTAAAATTCAGATACGCTATTTAGGAGTGAGGCACTTAACTTTGGTTTTAATGCCGTTAGTATTAATTATGGCAACTATGTTTTTGTGCTACTAACATCCCTCTTCCATGGATAGTAGGGTCGTGAAGCTTTCACTAAATGTGGTAAACAACATTGTACTGTGTGTTGCAGTGACATGCATGCAGTTTGGTGGAAAACAAGCATGAAAGTTAACTGAAACTTAAGCTAGAGAGTTATTTTAGGTGTTTACACTTATTTTCATAAAGTTAAAAGCTCATATAAAAACTTTTTAATGTTTCTAAACATCTAACTTTATAGAGGGGGTTAAGCTCGTTCACAGTAAAAGCTGCAGTCTGTGGGCATGCTGATTTTTTTCCTCCTTTTGCCTTTATACTTCAAAAATAATTTCTTAACATAGCTTTATTTTTTTCCTGTCTTAATATTGTGTCTTCCTCCCTACTCCAGTAGCAGGATTGTACCATTCTTATTAAAACAGGTATGATTGACAACTTGTAGGGCTTGTGCTTTTAGTCTAACACTTGACCTTCTGTGAAACACTCCACAATAATTAGAACACTACCAGACAAAGTAGTCATCTAATCTCCACATTTTTTTTTTTATATGTGTGCTGTGATCTAGGAAGGCTTGTAAAAACAAACAAGCGAAACACCTGGGGTGGTGAGTAGTTGTGGCTGATGACAAGTCAAAAGAATGCCTGTCTCTAAGTGAAACCTGCAGCTGTGCTGCTGGTGACCTGTGCTCGCAGGGGTTGTGGAAATCAGTGCCCAACTGGTAGTCAGTGGCACTTCTCTTCTGAAAGTTACGGGCAGTCTGTAAAGACTAGTATAAGTTGTTTTGGATGTGTCAGTTCGGATCCAAAAAAGCTACTTGTGCTGGTTTTGCTGTATCTGCTGCTATCAGCAGAATTACCCTAAAAAGTTGATTGTTTCATAAGACATCTTACATGCATCCAAACAAGGAGTTACTATTCTTCCTTAACAGTATAGCTTATTGCTACTGAGTATGTCAGAAGTATGTTAAAAAACTTCTTTTCTACTTTTATGTGGAACATGACATTCTTCGAGACTTGTAATAAAATTTTGTAATAACGTTTTGCATTTTGTGAGTTAATTTTTTTTCTTGATGATTTTCCATATTAAGAGTTTAAGATATTTGCATGATGGCATTAAATGTGTTGTTTTGTCATTAATCATATTTAAGAATCCTAAGTTTCACAGGTTTTGGTTTATTTTTAATCTTGTAAGTGGGACTTAGTTACATATGCTTTAAAAGTCAAGATATTCTCAAAGTACATGAGTTTATTTTCAGAAAATCAGGTTTTATCCCACCTTATTAATATCCTCAGAACTGTCAGTGTGAAACTGAAATGTAAATTGAATTTAGAATGCGAGTTTTAGGAAAACTCAAGTTTTATTTGCTTTCAGCAAAAATCTTCATGAGGTTTTGAATTAGTGACAGCTACTGGCTCAGTTTCTAGAAAAACAGTTTGAACTGCTGAATCAGGTTTTTACTTCAGTAGCCTTGTGTCCTTATGTTCAGAGAGCACAGTGAAACACTTAATGAAGTGTTAGCAAATGAATTGTGACTCTAAAAGGATTAGGAAGTAATTTGCCCTTTTAGAAGTATGGCTCCAGATTTGTGCCGTAGTAATGATTGGGGACATACCATTTAAAAAAAAAAATAACTGGTAGAAAACCACAACTTCTGTGCTGTTACATTTTTATAAACCTAGCTACTTAACAACCAGTGAAATTAAAATACCTATATGGTACTTTATATTGTTGCCATGAATTGGAAATCGGGGCGGGGGAAAGTATGTCATACATACAGGTACTATGAAATATTTACAGCTTCTTGAATAATAGGTCAATGGCTTACTGTAAAAGGGTATGTTAGTTTGTAAATCCGAAGGCTTTTCACAGTTTGTGGTTTTGTGGCAGGAGGGTTGTTCAGTTTATGCTTTTTTGGGGGTTGGGGGGGTTAGAATATGGTCATATATCACAGCAGCGCTCTGAATTCAGAGTTTGTTTTCATAATCAGTGATGCTTCTGTGCTGATTTATTTTAATCCGTAGTAAAATATTTTTTTAGTTTAGTAGAAAAAACAATCCTTATGCTGTGTTCTAGTAAAGTAAAGCAAGGTAATTGCTTCCTATTTTATCTTCAGGTGCTTTTTAAAAGTTGACTGTTGTTGCCCTGGTATCATTCAGCATTGTTGTGTATACGCTGGTAGATTTCAGGAAGAGATTAAATGTGGTAAAACTACTAAGTTCCTGTAACTGAATTTTTAACTTTAATTTCACAAATTCTTACGAATTTTTGACTGTGAATGTCTGAGTTTAGCTCTTCCAAACATAGTACGGATCTTTCTAAATACAAACTGCAAATTACTGTTTGTCTCCATATTGCTGTTTTTTCCTAGGAGTATTCCTCTGTGTTGCTCTAATGTTCCTAGAAGTTAATGGGTGTGATTCATGGAAGAATTGGCAAGTGTTGTTAGATGTAAATGCATTTTGCTCCATAACAGTTTTACCATACCTCAGGGCATGTACTTCTATGTTCCCCTATTCACTAAGGCACGAGCATAAGGTATGCTTTTTCCCTCAGCTGGATGACTAGTTAGGGGCATTCTTCTGTTTTTAACCCCTGTATGAAAATTGACAGTGGGTTCCAAAACTGAAATAAAAGAGGGAAGACTAGCGCTGATTAACACATTACAGAGAGTGTGATGACAGCAGTGATATTTCTTGAGGAAAAGAAGCTAAAAGGAGGATTTGACCTCAGTTGTCTTAGCTGTATGCAGCACTGAAGTAATGGATTAATCTGGATAAATGGTTCCTGTCCAAATATGTTAGTCTGAAATAAATTAACCTGTAATTTTTCAAATTTTCAGGTGATCACAGGTTTCTGTAATTAAATCCTGAAAAGGACTTTAATGAAGTTGTTCTCACTTATCTCCCTCATCTTGAGGAATGTGATGACTAAATATTTTAGGAATCTGATGAGTTTAGGTCTGGAGAATCACAAGAAACTTCTGCAGATCTTCTGTGAAATGATGACTTACTCAACAGATGGGTGGCTTGAGTAGTCATTGCAGTGGAATCAGTGTTTTGGTACCTTTTTTTTAACTTCTTTGAAGCAAAGCTGTTCTATGTGGATGCAAGGGTGTTTTGTTGTGCATAAATGGAAATAGTTGATTTCTGCTTTACCTCTGGTGAAGCTAATACAGTTTCTTCTAAGCTAGTAGTCATTCTTCCCTGTAGTAAGCTCAGTGGTTTTTAAGAAACTTTCCTTTCTGTATGTAGTTGACTTTTATGTGATATGGAACTTGCCTATGAATATGAGGGAAAGGTAGCAGCTCTAGTATTTGTTTTGCTGTGTTCTTGCCTATATGCCCTCTGCTGAATGTTTTCAGAGTAACAGAATATGAAGGAACTTATTGTTGAGTATGAAAATGAGCATGAAAGATAAACAGAATATTTTTATCTTAACCAAGTCAGTTAATGCTTATCTCAACCAAGTCTCAAATCAAACTATTTGTACTTTACCTGTTTTGTTTTTCAGAATACTGTAATTGAAAGTGCGTCTTCTACATTTGAGGAAGGACAAATTCATGATTGAATGGTGGATTAATAAGTAGCTGTCTTATTCCAAGAGTAAGAAGATATCCTGGGAGTTGGGAAGAACTGGATTTTCACCCTAGTCCAGCAGCTTTGCTGCTCACTTAAACACAGATGAATGAAGACCCCATTTGGAAAATCACCAGGTCAGCGGTCCAGAGCTGATGCAGGTGAGGTGTTTTTCTGGGTGGTTTTGTTTGGGTTTAGTGGGTAAAAAGTGTTCTTACTTTATAGATATATGTTAATAGTTTTATGAAGGTGTTATCAGTCCTGTCTTAAAAGAACATTTACTTTTGTTATATAAGCTGACGAATTGAAAAGGCATACATAAATTTAGTTTAGCAGTACAGATGTACATATAGGCAGTGTTTAATGTAGTCTATAATATCAAAGTTTTATTAGAACTGTAAGTTACATAAAATTCTAAAAAGGAACAAAATCAATTTTGTTGTAGGATTACATGGATATATTAGGGTGAGGATTTCTCTTGTTCATCTCAGAAGTGCTTCAACGTAAACAAATTTGTTCACCATATATTTATAACTTAGAGTAAAACTCTTCATGGTTTTATAGAAGCTGATCAGCTAGTAATTGTAAAAGAGAATCTCTTGAAGACACTACAAAAAATGCAAATACTGTTGCTACTGTGTGTGCTCTCTAAACTGAAATAGGTTAGTCAAAGTATTTTAAAGGAATTTTTTATTCAGAGAAATGCACAATATGAGTAAGCGTTCATCCTCTTATGACTAGTTAGACTTACTCAAAGTTTTGCAGCTTGAAAGACTAATGAATCTCAGTCAGTCTTGTGTTCTCTGTAGTAAGGATTATCAGCAGTGATGCAAAAAAAGCATCGAGTGACCAACGGAGAATTGTTCTGTAGGTTGATACTTGGCCCTGTATAAATTAAGCTAGACTGTGCTTCAGCTGTGTGTAGACTAGTGTGGGACAGGGACTAGAAGTTATCATGTGAAAGCTAGGAATTCTACAGACCAGCATTTTGAGAATGAAAAGGTTGGAGATGAATGTTGTTCATTCTTCTGTTCAATTATTTCTTTTTTAGTTGAACTCAATTAGGTAATAAAATTGTTTTGTATATTTAGTCAATTTTTTTCTGTTACAAAATTATTTCATGTTTTTCGGGGCAGGGAAGTTCGCTTCCTATTTTATGCTGCAGGAAAATTCACTAGTTAGTGACCTGTGCAGGGAGAGACTTTGTAGACACATGATGCAGCATATTTTCTATCACCAACCATTGTGAATTGGTGCTTTTCTAAAAACCTCAAGAAACTGTTATGTGTAATTGAGAAAGCTCAGTGAACTTTTAAAATAACCAAGCAGTAGTCCATTCTGGTGCTTTCAAATACTCATCCAATTCATTGAGAACTAAAGCAACTGGTATGGGAAAATTTCCTTTAAACCCTTTAGAAACTTTAAAAACTGTGTTTACCTGTGATTAGCTTACATTAGTGTTAATTTGCTGTCACTTATTTGAAACATTTACCGATTTCAAAGGTAACTTAAGCAAACACTTTTAAAAATTGTTTCAAAGGGGAGACCCAGTAGAGAATCTTAAATGCTTGGTTCAGTGAGTTTTCATTCCGTCAACTGACAAGTCATCCTTCCTCTTGACACTAGCAGAGTACCTGTGGGAGTAGAATTGTATTTTTAAGAGAAAAGAAATGAGAACAGGCTTTGACCTGGTACTTAACTTCAGTCTTGTTGACTTCGAAACATCAACTGGGCACTGTGCCCAAGTTCAAAGAATTCAGGCATTAGGTTTTTAAAGCAACCTTAAGAAGAATTTAATTTAAAGACTTCAGTGTGACATGCAGTGAACAACAAAACTACCGCACAGGTTTGAAGTGTCATAATGTGAAACTGGTGTAGAGGGTAATTATGTGGCTAGATTTTTTTGTCTGAAAACCAACCAAGTTAAGCTAGGAAGTTTTACTTAAATACATTGAAAAGAAAATTTTGCTTCCTATTTGTTCTTTTGACTCTTTTAAAAAAAAAAGAGAGAGAGAATTCAGAGATTTATTTTGAAGAGTCATGTGTTCCATTATTTGTTCATTATAGTTTGTCCTATAACTGTCACCATGCCAAATTGTCATTAAAATTGACACACTTTAGATGCCATTTTTACTTTTTAATCCCTACACAACAGTTACAGTTTCTCTTCATCTTTTTTTCTGTGAAGTTTTTTAATCTTAACTGAGAAGTCCTTAACTTATATCATTTGATTGATGTAGTATCACTGTCATTTAAATAGAACCCATAATACCATACATATTTGGTCTGCCTCAGCTCTTGGCATAGTCGTGGCCTAGGCTTGGGTGTTGCCAGGGTTCAGCCTCCGGCTATTTTATTCTTGAGGAAGACAGCTGCTGACCTCCTTGCTGTTGTGGCTCCTCCTTATGATCATATTTCGTAGGCTCAGGCTAGATAGCTTTTAATGCTTTTTTTTGGGGGGGGGGGAAAGAAGGGAGGGAATGGAATTATCAGCTGTTTATTTCTTGATCATGGATACGCATTAGCAAAGAGTACAGCAGGCAGCCATCATTAGGAGACTGCATAGCCCACTCTACAATGAAGGTTGGGCATGGGCCTTCTAAAGGCAGCTACTGAGTAAGAAAGACAGAACATTTGTTTATCGCACCCAGTAGTTTCGCTGATAGCGGTCAAATTCTTCCTTTGAAAGGAACAGCAAATGCAGTAATTGAGTTCATCAGAGTTTATAAAGTGATGGGTTTGATGGCTGGAAGAGAGGCCTTGCAATGTGATATGAATTAAGATTATAGCGAGTTAGTTGTTTAGGGTTTTTATTTTTTTAAAAAGTGTTTCTAGCAGAGAAAGCTATCAAAAGTGCAACCAGGTAAAGTGACAGAGTGGTTTAGGCGGCAACTCTGTCTTCTCTTTAGAAGGAGAATTTGGTTACAAGCAGGTGAACAGATATTCTTCCTTAGTTTTATGTTAAAAATTTATTTGCTAGGGAAGAATGACTTTTAGTGCTGCAGTTGTGGCAGTGTTCTGTGCATTCAGATTAACTGTGTGTCTGATCCTTGCGACGATTTGTAGGCTTTCAAAGTGGTCATGGTGATGTTTTGGGTTGGGTTTGTGGGGGTTTTTTTGTTTCTTTCTGTTTTTCTGTTTTTTTTTTTTTTGTTGTTGTTTGTTTGTTTTTTATTATTTTATTTGGGAATGTTAAGGATTTACCCTAGTTAAGTGATTACCAAACTTGACGGTTACTTTATTTGAAATAATTAGTACTGACAGTTACAGTGGGGGTGAGCATGACATTTGTTACCTACATAATTGGAGAGAGGTTTGACAGATACTGTTACATGGATAAGGAGTTGGCTGGGTGGCTGCATTTGAAGAGTTACAGTCAACAGCTCAATCTCCAACTGGAAACCAGTAACGAGTAGTGTCCCTCAAGGGTCTGTACTGGGACCAGTACTATTTAGTATTTTCATCAATGACATAAACAGTGGGATTGAGTGCACCCTCGGCAAGTTTGCAGATTACACCAAGCTGAGAGGTGCAGGTGATTTACTAGAGGGAAAGGACGCCAGCCAGAGGGACCTTGGCAGGCTTGAGGAGTGGGCCTGTGTGAATCACTTGAAGTTCAAAAAGACAAAGTGCAAGGGCCAGCAGGGCAAGGGAGGTGATTCTGCCCCTCTGCTCTGCTCTCGTGAGACCCCACCTGGAGTCCTGCATCCAGATCTGGGGCTCCCAGCACAAGAAAGACATGGACCTGTTAGAGCAGGTCCAGAGGAGGGCCATGAAAGTGACCAAACAGCTGGAACACCTTTTATGAAGAAAGGCTGAGAGCGCTGGGATGTTCAGCCTGGAGGAGGCCTTTAAATTTTATAAGGGGGGCTTATAAGAAAGATAGAGAGAGGCTTTTTACCAAAGCCTGTAGTGACAGGAGAAGGGGTAATGGTTTTAAACAGAAAGAGGGTAGATTTAGATTGAACATAAGGAAGAAATGTTTCGCAATGGTAAGACACTGGAACAGGTTGCCCTAAGAAGTTGTGGATGCCCTGTCATTGGAAGTGTTCAAGGTCAGATTTGATGGGACTTTGAGCAACCTCATCTAGTGAAAGGTCCCCTTCCCCAGCAGCAGGGTTGGGCTAGGTGATCTTTAAAGGTCCGTTCTGTGGTTCTGTGATTTGCTAGAACAGCTGTGAAAGAAAGTCTTGTACGTCAACAAGTAACTTTCAAACAGGATTTGCTGTTAGAGCATTATTGATGCAAATATCTTATTTTGACACTTATTACCTTCTGGTTTTAAAGATGGTCACCACTTCCAAGAAACTACACAAACATGTAGTGTTTCAGAACAGCTTAGATGCTTCAAGTGGAAAATACGTTTTTAAAAGTCCTGCCTATAAAATTGCTATCACCTGGGAGTAGATAATACAGCATTCATGTATTATTTCTATTATTAATTTTTCCTCCTGGTTAAAAGATATGGTGAAAGCACAGAAATCGCTTACAAAATTTATATTTGATCAGTTAATCATGTAAAATCATAAAATTGTGGGATTCTAGGAGGTTCTTGGATCAGGTACAGGCTACAAAACACTACCTGGAGATATAGATAAGCTAGTGGTTGTGTCTGGTATTTGTATAGGCCAATATGATTACTGTTAGAAAATTTAATGCATTACCAAAGCTTTTTGAAACTGACTTTGATTTTATCCCATTGTAGAGAACTTATCAGTAGTGACATTAGAGGTGTGGTGGCTTCTTTGAAAAAGCCAATTTTCGTCTGTCCTGTCTGTCTGCCTACAAAGTAAATGCTTTTATTTGCTGTAAAGTAGGTGTAAAGGAAGAGGTACCTTTGATTAAAATCTCTAGGCTTTTGAAGTATGTCTTTACTGGAAAACATACTTCATAGTTCCATCTTGAGAAATAAAGGGTAGCACTGAAGAAAAGAAGGAAGTCTAGACTTTATTTTTTCACAACAGTAGAGTACATGGCTACAGGCTCCCTACATACAGTTTGTCAAAGTATAGAGTTGTTTCCCAGGATACGGT